GGGGGGGGGGGGGGGCTCACAGCTGAGAAGGTAGTGCTCCTCATGTAGTAATGTAGTATTTGGTGTAATCTGTTGTCTATTAAAGTACATTAAGACTGTTTTAGTAATTATTCATGTTTATTAATATGTTTCAGAATGCCTTTTTTATCTTTTAAGGAGAGTAAAGGTTTGTATATTTGAGTTTGATTAAGCAGGGGAGAGGACAGGGTTGACGAAACCCGTCACTAAAAATAAAAATCAGCACAATTGCGAAGATATGAACGCTCGATTGTGATAGTTTTGACTGGGCCAAAGAGCAGTGCAACACGATGATACTTGACCATTCACATACAAAATGTGTTAGGTGAGATTTTAATATAATAATAGCTTTTTATTATTCATCATAAGCAAATATCCACGATAATCAACAGAATGACTACTACCTTTTTATACTTTTACAATATCGATTAATCAGCATGAGATTTTTTTCTGAAAGAAAGTTTTTTAAGTAAACATTATCGTTGGCAACTGTTTGGTTCCACTGTTTTGTGCAGCTAAACGTTGGTACATGTTACCATTCCTATCTCCTTACGATAGTCATAATCATGGTGCCACTCATTTTGGAACCGATACTTTTTACAGTTTTTATCATCTTGGCTTCAATAAATAGTTCTTATATTGTATACTCCGTATGTTCTTGTGTTCTGGTGACTGTTTGTTCACCAGAAGTGGTTGAGACAAGACCCCGGAAAAAATGGCGTTACATGTACCAGGTGTGTTGCCTACTGGCAGTTGTACTTGACTATTGGAACTTTAAAGCCCATACACTGAAGATCTGATTTAATTCTGGGATTGTGTCTCACTGTGTTATGAGGCAGGGGTCTTTGGGTTCCGGAATTCATCATCACTGTGCCCAGTGGAACGCAGCCGAGAACTGAACCCGAAGAAAGGCATGTGTGGGCGGGACGGTTGCTTGTTTGGTTTTACGTTCTCGTGCTGCTCTGGTTTCGGGGGCATTAAACCGATGACATTCAACGGTCTCGCCATTGGATCAGACGAACTGAATGAACCCGTAGCCTCGGCTTCGTTGGTTTGCTCCACGGGATTGTTCACAACTATGGGCTCGGGTAGAAAAATTAGCCCTGGACTGTTGCCATGCCCAGGAGCTTTGCCATGTCCTGGCGACGCCGGCGCTGGGTCGTATTTAAAATTACCCAGTCTTGAATGTGAATTGAAGAAATGGCTAAGACCTCCTCCTCTAAAAGTATTATCCGGGCTCCGTTGTCCAGGGTAACCAGCTGGTGGGGCGATCGTGGGCGCCATATTGTGTCCCTCGTCGCCTGCCGTTGACTGGTCTGGTCCAAGTAATGCCAGGAAATCTGCTAGGTTCATGACAGGAGATAGAGGAGATGCGGCAACGTTTGACTGAAATTATGAAAATCACCTAAACATCATTTTTGGAAAAATCATATTTTATTTTGAGTAGATGAAAATCAGATGGAGTCTAATAATATTTCAGTGATCACAATTCAAGGAAATGAGGTATATAAAGTGGTTCTCATTGGTACAAAGGGCAATATTTCGTTAAATGTACCTTTACACGTCACGTAAAGGTGACATAACCGAATACTCACGTCACAATCTGTACATTCAGGCTCTTCTGTTGCTTCACTGTCGAAGGAATCCTCTGCAGCGACAGCTCCCAGCGTCGCCAGAGTGAAAGCATTTCCCACAGTCCCCGTGGATGTGGTGGGGGAGGTGGTTGGGGTTGCTGAGGTCGTGGATGCCGTTGTGGTTGAACTGGTTGTAGAGGCCTCCGTGGTCGTACTGGTTGTGGTAGTTGATGTAGATGTTGTTGTGGTAACCGCACTGATAACTGGAATTGGAAACGAAAAGACTTCAATTTGGTATTAAATTTTGAATTCAAAAGCAATGTGTAGACTATGTGCTTGCATGATATAAATAATCTCATATTTTATATCACTGACATTGATATACCGGCATTAAAGAAAATATTACCCTTCTTGACCTCATAGAAAGAACGCTTAACTTTTACACAAGGACAGAAGTGATTCACGAAACGTGCAGTTATCAGGTTCAATAATATTTAAAGGGATAATAACTCTTCGTTCTGGCCATAAATGAATTTTCCTGGAGTAAACACCAATTTTCCCATACTTACCGATGGTTAATGAATCCATTTTTACATTCAAAGTAAGTCCCTGTTTTTTTTCTAAAAAGTTGGGTTTTTGGTATAATCTCTTAAGAGATTATAACCGAGTATAGCCATCAATGGAGGTCACGTGGTCTAAAGACAAGCTCAGATATCAGAATAATAGCTACAACTGCCGTTTTGTGGTAAAACAGAATATATTATATTTCTTTGAGTTGTTCACAATGTTTTTATTGTGAAATATAGAACTCATACGAAGAGTTAATACCCCTTTCATAAAATAATCAAAATATACTGGTACGTGATGGTGTGATACGGAAAAGAATTACATTGGGATCGATAGCACTGAGAGAGAGTACTAACTGTTTCTGTGTGTGTGTGCGTGTGTGCGAGAGAGAGAGGATTTTGCGCACATTATCACTGACCTTTCACATATTGACGTAGCGTTATATTCATGTCACATGTCAGTTCGTACGCTTGGTACGTCCGCACGACCGTCTGCCCGTTACAAGTGTGGTGATACAAGTGATCCTGTGTCACGTCCCGTAACGACATCCTGTTGACTAAATACCAGGTGCGAGGGGAAGGGTACAGGGGTCTTAACACAGGGTCCGGCAGGAGCAGCAATTCACTGGTATTTGAACACCGGACTTCAGTTGTGTTAGGTTCCAGTACCAACTCCGGTCGCTCGATGTCTTTGACGAATATGTACTGGTTGGTAAACCCTTCATTGCCGCAGATGTCTCTCACTGACCAAGATCGACGAATTAGTCTTGTACCGAAGCTAGAGTTTGATGCCACTATCGTATCTGTCGAGTTAATAGTGAGATGGGCGTCCAAAAGACACGACGATAAATTCTCAACGACTGCTTTGTCGTCGAACTTGCTGGGTCCCAAATCCCCATCATACTGTGGGCAGACCTCTGCCGTATGGTTCTCAAATGGACGTAGAATGAGTTGTTGGTTTACGACAATGCTAATGATTTGCTCAGCTCTGGCAACATGGCCACAGCTATCAATTACGGTCCAGGATCGTCGGATTTTTGTGTCACACAAATCGTCATTTGTCGCACGATCTGCGCTCTCGACTGTTACATCGAGCCCACATGGAGAGATGGACTCGGCGTCTCCACCGGTGTTGTCAAAGTCGTTCCAATCTGTCCCACAAGGTACCGAAATCGGTGCTGGTACGAAAGTGAAAGCCGGTGGTTCTGAACGGACAATAATCAACTGGTCGGCGGTGGCGGTCTGTCCACAAACGTCAACTGCCGTCCACGTCCGTCTTACCCTAAGAGTACAATCGTTGTCGTTCAAAATTTCATCGGCCGTTTGGATTGTGACTTGGTGACCGCACAGAGAGGTAGCCAGTGCCGGTCCCCCTGTGCTCTCTGGGTCTGTCCAGTCTGTGTCACATGACACCGTGATAGTGGGCGGGACAAAGGTGAAGTTTGGCGCACCTGCTGGCACAACCGTCACGTTTTGTACGAATACGGACTGCTTACCGCACTCGTCCGTTGCCCTCCATGTTCTTATCTCAGTGTAGTCATAGGGGGCAGGACCCATTCACTCTAACCACGCTGTAAAGCTCTACATCCACGGCAAGACCGCAGTGGCCTGCTGCCGTCGGTGCCTCGTCGAAGCTAGGGACGCTGTTACAAGAAGCCGTCAGGGTTTCTGGTACGCCAGACATAAAGGGCGGAGTGTCGTAGTCAACGAATATTCCTTGAGTTCTTGTGACGAAATTCCCACATTCATCCTGGCCTGTCCACGTGCGGGTGATGTTGTAAATGTTAGGGCAGAATGAAGAACTCATCTCCTCCTCAAAATCGACATCAATTGAGGTGATGTTGGGCGGCTGGGGAATCGTTTGCGCATGTGTCGTTAAGGGTGATAAACAGATCAGTGGGAAATCCCACAGGAAATCCGAAATCCAGGCCCGTCTTGTGGTGGACGGTTATGAGCTGCGTACGGGAGGCGCTGTTACCGCAGATGTCGGTCACTGTCCACGTGCGAGTAACTGTCCGAGAGCCTCCATTAGCAGTCCCATTGGTCAATGTATCGGAATGGGTGAGGCGTGGGTAGGAGACGAAAGCACACGAATTATCTCTGTCCAGCGTGGCCGACCTGTCCACTGCCAGGTAGGGGCCCAGGTTTTCATCACAGGTGAAAATGTCCTCAACCTCGGGTAGCAATATGGTGGGTGGAATGGTAATTTGGAGATAGATGATCTGCCGGACAGAGATTTGATTTCCACAGTCATCAACGGCTGTCCAGGTCCGTGCGATGCTCTCATTACACAGGTTGTCGCTGATTATTCTGTCCGTGAAATTAACACCGACCGGATCTCCGCACGCAGAGCGGGCGATTGCCCACCCGCCTGTAAGATCCGGGTTCTTTATATATGTGCCACATTCCACTGTGATGTTCGGGGGCACAAAAGTAAAAACAGGGAGTCCCATCTCCCTGATAGTTATCATCTGCACCACATGCACCATATTTTCACACGCATCCTCTGCTGTATACGTACGGGTTATCGTCGCGTTGCATGCTGCGGTTGTCGGCAGAGGATTTGGCGCTTCTTCAATTTTGAGCGTTACGTCTGCGCAGATTCCATTTGAGACAACATCCGGGACATCTGGGAGTTGCCCTTGACAACGTAAATTTAAATCTGCATCGGATCCTCTTCGGACAAAGGTCAAAGTCGGGGCAATGTTGCACCAAGTGCAAACATCTAGGGTATGAAATAAATTTAAATTAGACCTTAGTAAAAATTCATTTATGCCCAATTTGAATAAGTTTGAATAGTTTGACAATGCACGTTTAACCCGCTGTATTTAAAAAGTAACAATGCATCTGAAGGTGGATTTTTACAAATTTTCTTAAAGGTGTACAGGACACGATGACCATATCCTAACGACCAAAGTCCCCCCCCCTTTTGGAATAAAACCAAACAATTCAAAATAAAAAGAATAAAAAAACGGAGACAAAGATTCAGAAAGTTCATGCAAACAAAAAACATGCCGGAAAATTGTATAAATAGACATACACATACCCTTACTGCATTCTCTACATGGACCCCCGGGGTCCTCCAGTAAGCGCAGACTGCCCCCTCCTCTAACTTGGCAGCACTCGGCCACGCTCTCCGTCCTTCCTTGGACACCGGTCATCGTGTGATTGACCTCCCGACCTGCCGGACACTGGAGACCAGTGTAACATTGCACTGAAATACGGAGGAGAATGAAGGTAAGTACACTTGCTTTGGATGATTACGAAAATGAAATACAATCGCCTTGGATGATTACGAAAATGAAACCTGCATACGAATGGACGACAGGAGGGTTGTAATGCTCATGTAAAATAGGCCTACTACACCCGTGAAAATTGGGCACCAGTTTTGAAATAGTAGCAGATAGTACTTGAATGTTATCTTTCTAAATACATGTAGCTCCAAATATTATTCGCGTAACCTCTTTAATAAAAAGGACAGCGGGGTGCCGTACGAATTTTATCTCTATTATTCATCTACGTATAGTTTATCAGCCTGACTGATGCAGATTTCTACACATATATAAAATTCTTGTAAATAAAGAAGGCTGTCGTGCCCCAGACTAAGCGGCTGACACCCCCTCACCTAGATCAACCACACACATATGTACAGTCTATCTACTCTACTTATTGGCACATTTAGCTGTGCTAGAGTAATGCATTATGCATTTTCTATATTATTTCAGCTCCGGAGTTACGACTTTAACGTTTGCCAGCAAATCATTGATTATATCAAAATGTAATCAGGGGTGTACTAATTAGACTTTATCCCATTTAGTTAACTCAGTAGATATCTGTAAGATATCTGCCCTCTTCTTTAGTGATATTCAAATTCAGTGCTACTGTTGAAGGATTTGGTTGCATTCTTGGCCCCGTTTCCAGCATATCCAGTGATCAGGTTCCAGTAATCAGCCCACTGACACCTACCTTGTGAATATGCCGGGGAGATGACAGCACACATAGTCAAGATCAAAGTTGCAAGAAAATATCTGTCCATGGTCTTCTCCGGTGTCACTGCGATGAAAGAAAATAGTGAATAAAAACTGTGGCCAGTAATTTATATGTTGCTTTACTGATATTCGAATTCAATGTGGGTGAGAATAATCAATGATCTTCCGTCACAGCTGTGTACTATAGTAAGGCAGAGCAAGCACGCTACTCCCCTATATAAAGGATACCCCTATGATATTATGGAGAAAATGAATAATTACTTCCAAGAAATAATAATGAGAAAAAAAGGACTATACCGATAGTGATAAAACTCAACTCCCCAGAAAATGTCAGCTACTGTCGCTGCTAGCGGTTTCCCTGCATCATACACCAGTAGTACCAGTACCATCAGTTTGAATGAACCGATGTGGCGACCGTTGATGTTACCTAATTTGTTGATAACATCGCTGTTTTTAATTACTTCATTAATGGTAATCTCTCCCCGCATCCCCGCCTGTGTCTCCATGATAGAATTTAAGATAACTTCCCCCATTGTTACACCTGCCATGCATACCGTCGTAATACCATGTTACATATTATAATATTTGTCGTGCATCTACGAAAGTACTTTGCACCGGTTGGTACGACTGTCAGTTCTCGGCTTACCTGTACGTTACCTGTATTGGCAGGCACCAGTGATAAAAGGATTTTGCTTCAAGGAGCATAGAATTAAGCAAAAAACAAAAACAAACAAACAAAAAAAACGGTACGCGAGTTCCAAAGTTTTTAAACTATTAAAATCGTTAAATGAATTTAGTAGGGCGCAGCTGTGAGAATCGCTTGGTTTTGTCTCACTGTTCTGTAGGCCCACTGCCTTTTCCATTTTGTCTTTTTTCCCGTCATTGCCAGAACATTGCAAATTTTTTATATATATACTCAATGGAAAAAGAGCAAATGATCGTAGATTTTATGATTTTATCTACATGGTTGGGAGATAAGATGGCCAGGACCCACGAGTCAATATACATCCTGTGAACTGTCACGTATCTTTACGTGGTGTCACTAGGCCCGCAGTAATACATGTAGTACACACTGAGATGATCCGGCCAATAAATATTGTCCATTCACAAAGAAAAAAGCATAATAATAATAATGATAATAATAACAATAATAATAGGTGTGCTCAAAATTCTCCTTTTTATATTTACCTTATGTTTTATAAATTCTATAAAAAAAGTAGACAGCTCATTTTATTACATTTCATCCATTGCTTTCTTGTAATCGGTATGAGAAGTGTTTATTCATGAAATATTGAATATTATTATACCAGCATGTAAGTGCCAGCAACCTTCATACTGGTATGCCATTTCAAATCTTTCATGTCCACCTGTCCGGCTTAAATGACGGGAATACTGGACAGAGCGCGTTCACGTGGACCTGTCACACGTGTATTAATCTATTGAGATTTTAAGTATTACATTAGCCATTTCCTAATTTGCATCTAAATGCTCATCTGTGGATAGAGAATACGTTTTGACATTTTTAAAAAAGCTATTTAAAAAACTTACCAGTTCTCATCAATTTTTCGCTTCACCCCTCGGCTGCTGACACGGCTTTGCCCGATTATCTTTTCTTACCTCTATATATGCATAAATAGCATCGTAATGACCCCACAATTACCATTCTGACGCATATATATTTAAATATAGGCTTCGCTCCTCATTTCCGTGAGACTGAACTTAAGAAACGTTTTATACGCAATTAAGACTAAATCTAGTCGTCGTCAATGGTGAAATATGGGAGAGTTAACACCGGTGAACATCCATACCGGGCGCGTGCCCGGGGCTTCACTAGTATTATCAACAAGGGGATACATGACTGTGACGTCATCAACAATTGACTTACGGCTCACTCTAAATGAAACTATGTATTGTTCTACAGTACGTGGGTCGATCCAACTTAGCGGGGACTCTGTAACAATGAGATATGCAGTTTAACACGCATCCTCTTCTTTCCAATGTACTAGTATAAACGTAGCTTTTCTGTATTTTACTCAACGCCAACTGTTAATCTGACTGCATTCAGCGAGAGTCCCCGTGGAGTTGGATTGATCTACGTAGAACAGTACTTTCATTGGGAATAAGCCTTAAGACCCCATTCCCATAGATTTTAGATCGATCTATCCCCGTGGGGAGTCTCACTAGATTGCTGTGAGCTTAGCCAGCTTAAGCGTCTGTCCCGCCTACTAAATGCTGTAAGGGGGTAATTAACTATGGTGCGCGCTCGTCTGACTGCAATTTAGCGTGAACCCCCAGGGAGTTAGGTTGATGTAAATCTAAATCTCTGGATCGATCTAAATCTCTAGGAATGCACCCTTAATCCTTTCTCTTGTTACATTTGTGTTTTTAGATTTTTGCTACTTGAGAAATAATAGGTCCAGTCTTTGTTTCCTACAAACCCTTGTAATTTTTTTGATTTTTTTATATTGCACGACCTGGAGCTTGACATCAAACTCCGGACGCCTCTTTTTTCAGCAATAGATTTAAATTAATAATTAAATTTAAATCTTTAATTAGATACTTGACCAATTATTTGTCGCGTATTTGTTTTATTGTATTGACAAAATATTTGGTTTAATTGCGCTGATCAACTTTGTGTAGGCATAATAATGAACTGAGTGTCAAAGTATGCAGTAGTCTCTTAATTTTAGATTTGGGCAGTTGGGCAAAATGAAATTAAATGATAGTTTATTTTGTTTCAGAACTGTGATAGAGGCAGGCCCATACATGTATTGTTAGTAAAATAATGAAATGAACGACAAATGATGCAGTAGATCTCCCTATTTTTATATGTCGGCAGTTGGGCAAAATGAAATTAGGTTGTGGTGAATTTTGTTTAAGAAGTCTAAAATGCTGAACTTGGTTTTACAACCTTTTCATACTACTCGATTCAGATCACATGGATACAGAGTACTTCACAATCTAGAAATAAAATCACAAACAAACCCCAATATTTAATTGAAGGCTGATAATTTATTTGCAAGCAGCAATTACAATATAACATGTACAGAACTCTGGTAAGAAGAAATAATTAGATGTCATAAGCCAAGAGTGTGATTATTGTTCTATGAATACAGATGTGAAAATATTAAAATATAGCTAAAAACATTTTAGACGCATTCGGGATTGCTGAAAGGCATTTAGGTGCCTTAAAACATTGAGATTAAAAAAAGGAAAAGTAACAAAGAAAAAAAAAACGCGTAAGAATGTAACTCTCTTCAATAAGTTTTTCACATCTGAATATAGTTAATAAAAGGAATCAATTTGCATCTGGTGCTCTTCCTTTTCTCAGCACGCGTCGTTTTTCAATGTCAATTTAAGCCTTGAAAATAGGGCATCTCTGGAATATCAAATTGGAAACTCATCATTTATTATCAAATACTCAAAAGTTATACTGGTGACACATGAAACAATACTGTCCAAAGTTAGTAAAGAAACAGTGAGTAACACTACACCACGCCAAGTTAGTAAAATTTGAGAAACTCCTAAAATCGGACGTCTTTTAGCGAATGGCCTTTTTTTTGTTCAAAAAGATGTTTGATGAAATCAGTGTCTCTTCCCATCAAAGCTAAATGATAGAAAACCAGTCTGGTACAGGGGTCCATACGGTACAGAGTACAGGGCTCCATACGGTTCAGGGTACAGGGGTCCATACGGTTCAGGGTACAGGGTTCCATACGGCACAGGGTACAGGGGTCAATACGGTACAGGGCACTGTGGGTCTATACGGTACAGGGTACTGGGGTCCATACGGCACAGGGTACAGGGTCCATACGTTACATGTAACAACCCGGTGTCACTTTAAAATCACGTCACTACATCAAGGTACAAGCAAGGTCCAGTCATCACGCCGTATCAAGGCGGATGGTTGCACTTTTACTGGAGAAGCATAACGTTAAAAACGTTGATCAGTGCATTGATCTTACCATGTTATAAGCGTCGCTTCTTTACCCGCCGAATTCAGGGTTTTCGAGTTCGAGGATATTTCTGAGTTCGGCATTTTCAGTCGGATTTTCCTCTTCTTGCTGGGCTTCAGCTGATCTCTTAGTCTTCGTGCACGTGCAGTAAGAGTATCTTCCTCCACTCCAACTGAAATGTGTAGAAAGGTTTTGACTCTTTTAATGCATATTCCTCCTACATTCCATTTGAATTTTAATGAAACGCAATTTAGCGATGCGTCGCACCCAAAATTGGTGTACTAGAAGTGCTACTAAATATTTGTCTTGGAATAAAGTAGATCGCATTTTCTATCCAAAATTGAAGACATATTGGTGTTAATAATAATAAAGCATTATTTTATGATGATAATAATAATAACTACAGAAACACACAGAAAGTTCACTCTGCCAAAACAACTCAACTCCCGTTATTATAAGTTATTAACTAAATAATTAATCAATGGATCACCATCAAAATTTAACCGTTTCTGAAAATATCATCAAATTCCGTCCATATTTTTAAATCATGTTGTTAACAAAGAGTGAGAGAGACAGGCAATTAGAACCAAAAATATGATCTCCTCGGTGGAGGTAAATAATAACACTTTTCTATATCTGTAATGCCCTGGAAATACGATATATATATATATATATATATATATATATACTAACAATGAGTAGTGATAGCCACTGTAGGTCGCGCCGCAATTTTTCCTACACCCGCCGTCGCAAGCACAACCGAAAATGTTACACTTTCCGTATCCGCAGTATGGAGTTGTCTGAAACACCAAAGAGGTTATAGCGATATGATTCCTTAAACGTACCTGTGTATAGGGATATGATTCTCAAGACACAGGTTGGCTAAAGCCTCGGTCACAACCGGACGCACGAATTTCAGAATCGTACGTCCCTTGGGATTTTTGGATGTTGCGGAGGCCGTGGAGGTCGTAGAGGGAAGTCGGCCTTGCGAGTCGCAAGGGCCACATGAGATGTCCTTTCAAGCAAGGACGCTAATTGCAAGGAGCGATGGCCGTAGAAATTGTACTAATTTCTTGAGTTTGTCTTGCTTCCTGTGTACGTGGCACACACTCACCACTTACGAAGAGAATGTAACGCACGGCGAAAGTAGTGCCCTTTTGCGTCAGTTTTGCTTCACACTTGCCTCACACGTTTGTGGTGACGTACTGACAGCGTACGTCAGTTTTGCTTCCTGTTCTCATCTTCTTTCTTCTTCCTCCTCCCTTTTATCTACTATATAAGCTTCTTTCTCTTGTCTTTTGGAGGCATATTAGAAACTAAATTGAGCAAAATTTTGAAAATTTTGAAAATTGTTGTACACGTTACACAGTCGACGTTCATTGTAAAGACACGAGAGTGTGTCGTGAGCACGCCTTTTATGCATCAGGCGTGCGGGTGACGCACGTGCGACACATTCACGGTGTGCTATCGACTTTGTTCGTTAGTTGTGAGGGCGTGCGCCTTACTGAACACGCGAAGGGCACTTGCTCCTTTATTGCTTGCAAAGTGCGTCTTGCAAAACGAACATCACTCATGCTAGCTCCGTTCGAAAGGAGCAAGTTACGCTTGCGGCCTGGCTGTTCGCAGGCTATTCGTAGAACCTTTTGGACATGTCCAACATCTTCCGTACGTGCTCATTTCATATCTGCGAACTCGAAATTTCGTAAGAAGGACTTGCGTGGGACGTGAAATTCTGCGCAAATCTGGACGTAAACAGCCCGTAAGAGCCCGTACGGCCGGTTGTCACCGATGCTTAAGCACGATCCTGAAATTCGTGGACGTACGATCCTGAAATTTGTGCGTCCGGTTGTGACCGTAGCTTTATGATGTGACATAAATGGCAGTCCTAGGAATGGAAGTGCGGGTCCAGTTGATTAGTGCAGGTTAGGGTTAGTCGGAGTATTGGGGTTGTATAGTTTATGTGACAAATGTACCTGTACAAAGTAATAGGGAACGAACTACGGTTCCAAGCGGACTACTTTTCACCTCACACCGGTAGCTTTGACTTGGAAACGTCTCAAATGTGTATTTTAAAATCCTTTACATTGGGCGGCGTCCTTACTGCGTCCCGTGTGCGACCATAATGCTGGTATCGCTGTGGTCGTAAAAAGGAGGCACAAGCATCGCTTTGGTTGCAAAATGAATGCTCAATGATCGATCTCTTGTCGGTACGTAAAGTATTATTGTTTTTACTCTCAAACAAGGCGGTACTACGGGACGCAGAAAGGACGCCGTCTTCAGTGTAAAGGGGTTTTTACTAACGATGACTAAGCTAATGATTTAAAAAATCTGTTCAAAGTGATACACTGTATTCAAAGTTATGCCGACATAGTTATTTGATGGCGAAAAGACAGATGTCAGACACCAAATCAGTGGGCATAAATTTTACCAAACACTGTTACAATAACCACGTTAGCGTTGCAGAGTGAGTGCGTTAAAAAGAGTTACAAAGTTTAAGCTAGTGGATGTTACTTTAACTTAAGTGTGACGGATTCGAACAATCTTCCCATCCAATGACACCTCTAAAATAGTATATAAAATTAAAGTATAGGGGATGCAATAATTTGTAACAGACAAGTAGCGGACCCTGTGTGCCCTTAGCCGAGTATGACAAGGGGCCATCCCCTGGGAAAATATGTTTCATTTAACGTTAACTTACGGCTCTCACTCTGTTCTAGAACATTTGGTGTATTTTTTTACAGTTCCAATGTTGTTCTGTAATGAATGTAACAGTTCGAGAAGTGTTTTGGGAAGTCTTTCAGAATGTCCTTGAACAAATTAAGAACATTTTTCATTAAAAGAGAAAAATATAATGATGTAGGTTAGATTGAGAATCGTACGTAAACGTTCAATGAGACATATTTTCGCAGGGATGAACTTTTTCTTACCTCTGTACAGTCTGCACACCAGCCGCGCTCCACCGATTTACAGCACGCTGCCTGGGTTTCTTTAACCACAGTCACTGTCACCATGGCAACGGCAAGTAAAGTAACGAGATAGCCAGTCATTGTCTGAAACCATTCAAAGATTGGACGCTGTTCAAGTGTACAGTTCAGACTTGTGTTTTAGTATGAAAGCTGATGCTCACCACTAAAAATTGCGGAAGTTTTTTTTCCAACGGCCACGTTTTCATAATCATGATAAAAATACATAGATTGTCCAGACATTGATTAAAAAGAAAATATGTACATGTGCTCCCAAATGGATGTCAAACAATCTTCAAAAACTTATAATTACTAAAACAGTGTAAATATTTCACGTGCAGTTTTCTTAGGCCATTCATTGTCAGGCAAATGAGTACTTATACAGGATATGTACTGTTCTACGCCTTAAATCTTTACGCCCAACAACCGCTACTATAAATACGACCCAAATTACTTTTCTAAATGATATATAACTTGTCCGGGGATTAAATCTGCTTCTACAGAAAATGGAAAATAATCTAAAATAATCGGAAAAATCCTCCACCAATCGGGATCTGATCATTGTATTCACTCTAAAAACTCACGTTTTCTGGTTTTTTGACACTCAATATACCAATAATATATTTGAGACAGTGACCGTAAAATACAAAGGCTTACCTTTCAAATAACCGAAAACTTGTCGGTGAGTAAAGCTTCAGAATGTCGAGAGTGGAGCTGAGAAAACTGCTGAACACAAGTCTACCGTACAGAGAACGTGAGACGACTGGTACTCCGGTAGCTCTTATATAATTTGGAAAGGGCAGGATGGGTTGTGTATACGCTTATGAGCTGTGTCTCAATCTACTGGTCGTATTAGAAATCTTCAAAAGATCAACATCAAAAATCAAACCCTTTTGTTTCACTGTGATATCAAACATGAAAGGAACGAAGAAAAATAAATTTCTTGCGAAGATTCTGGTTGTCTGTTGGCACGTTCAGACTTAATGCAACTTAAACCGAATGACGTCACCAGTAATTATAACTCAGGTTTTATTGTGTGTCTCCGTGGTATCTGGTCTACGTCTTTAAGACGTCTTTACGTTAGATCAGGTCTGGAAGAAGCCTTTTAGGTTGAGTTGTGTTTGTTGGGAAGCTAAACGGGTCATAACAACGATCTGCTTGTGGACATAATTTGTATATATCAAAGTAAGGTTGTCCTGGGAGACGTAGATCAGATACCATAAGGACCATTCCCAGACCCTATAGTATTAAATATAGATCGATCTATCTCCTTGGGGGTTCTCGTTAAGTTGCAATCAACTTAAGCGGCTTAGAAGTCTGTCACGCCTACTGATGCTGCTATGGGGTAATTAATTATCATTAAGAAGATTTAGTAGGCATGCCAAACATCTAAGCCACTTAAACTGAAAGCAATTTAGCAAGAAACCCCTCGCAGACGGTTCGAGCCTGTTTGATCGATCTAGGCATGGGACACAGTCACATACCCTAGGTTTTAGATTCCGGTATTGCCAGCTCGATCTTGATTTCATGATTAACCCATATCAGCAATACCAGGCTGTAGCGAACACCGTCAATTCGTGGGCGTTCCTCTTCAAAATTTTGCCTGGGGCGCTTCCATATTTGGAAGTCACAATAAAGTCTAGTACGTCACAGCATTGTTCCCCTGGAGCTCCCATACTTGGACGTCATGTCTCGTACGTCACAGCTTTGCCCGCCTGGAGCTGCCTTTCCCGCCTTGCGCTGATGTTATCTCGTGCAGACGAGACAAGAAGCAAAGTAGCTGACGTGGAGTTGGAAGTTTTAACTAAGAATATCTTCCAGTCGAAGGTCATTACCACAACACAAGCAACATTCTGCTTTAAAAACTGATTTTGGTGTCGCCATTGCGCAGCCCTTATAGTGGTATCGGGCATTCTTGAAGTCGGATACTGTCAGGCCGCGGTTTGCTGCAGAGCACGTGTTCCTGTTTGGGGGATTCGCCGGGTTACGCGTCGATGTAGCCGATCGCATTTTAAGTTCAAAATATATTATATTAAGTCACATTTGATTGAACTTGCTACTTACATTTTTGTGATATTTCACTACACAGATGAATGACTGTCATAAACGAGTGTAGAGTTTTTATTGTGCAAATCGGGGAAACATTTGGTAACTAAGGCATAGGGCACTAGCTAGTACATAGTACGTACCGGTACATGTAGTAATGAAATGGTTTTCTGTAGTCGATCTTGGCTTTAACGAATTAGAGCACATGGTGAATATTTGATATTTGAAAAATCGAGGACTATGTTTTTTTTTATTCTGCCACACTTGAGTTTACCCTAAATCTATGCAGGGAACCCACGTACTAGTATACAGGATCCGTTTTTCTGCAACCTATATATATATATATATATATACTGGTATCATAGAGCCACTACAAGTTGGCATAGATGTTTTTGGCAAACACAATATAATGCATTTTCACAATGAATTCATGTTAAAGGCAAAATAATCATTTATAGTATTTGAGGCCAGTGTAATGAATGAAGTAATTACCCCTGTTGCCTACCTATTCACTTGACAATCAAGTAAGGCCCTTACTCTTTTCAGCTGTTAATTGTATACTAGCTGATACTAACAGTGATGATGCAAGGGTCATATATAATTATATACCTGGGTTGGTCATGGGGGATTCAGTCAGTACAAATCTTGTTTAGGAAACATATATTGCAGTTCAAAGTATTTTTTGCCGGTGTTATGAATAACAATGTAATTACCAATGTTGCTTATCTGTTCACTGTAGTGTATCAATTGCAACTTGTACTCTGTTCTTCTGTAAGTTGTGCAGACATTGGGTAAAATAATGGTTATAAAATAAGTGGAATATTTTGCTCTTATAGATCCCCATGCAGAATTACACAGAGGAGTTTAAAATTATTGTGTGTTATCTTAAATACTGGTATATTACCAGTAGTTAAATAATTTATTTTAAAGTCACACTGCTATATACTGGTACACATGTAGTTTTTCTGCCAATTCTGCAACATATTATTAGCTAAGGTTTCTCTTTCCTCAATTTTATCCTCAAACAAGTTAACCTGTGGTCATGGGTAGTTATAGTGAGTTCTTAAAGAGGAGAGTTTTTTTAACAATTCAGTTCAATTTATTTCTGTACTGGTATATAAATTATCACGGCCTTGTACAATGGCAACAATACAATTAGTGCATTACCACTCTGTAAATGGTATTTGTATTACCAGTTTGTGACTGAAAAAATATATCTTTACATAATGCACACGACAAGTGTGAACTTAAAAGTGAAATAATGAAATATTCAAGCTAAGCAGTGAGATTTAACTTTTTGGTGTGTTTATAAATTTATCATAAACACAAATCATAATGCATAAGGTCACAATTACATGTAATATAATATGGAGTGATTAAGATTTACAAGGAAGGGAGGAAGAGCTATAATTACACCAATAAATAAATAAATAAATAAATAAATAAATAAATAAATAAATAAATAACACAGTTATTCAGATATAAAATGTGTCACTTCCCACTGCGGACTCACTGTTCACACATTAATATTTTTCAACGAGGAATATAATAGACATTTCCAAGTAGAGATATTACTTAACTTTTCAAAAAATATTTTATAATAAAATTTGAAAGGGAAGGTATATTATCTTTGTTGGCACTGTTAAACACTTTGCAAAATTTACTTTCTGTATGGTGATCTTTTATCAGCCTTAAAAATTGAAATTTTACTTAGGAAAGTCTCTTGATGTGTTTTATATATTAGGCATAATAGCTGCATTAAAGTATAAAATGGTATTCATGTACAATTACCATATATATATATAGTTAAATAATTTTATATATATATATATATATATATATATATATATATATATATATATATATATATAACATTGGTCAAAAAGGTTGTCCCACCCTTATTTCCATGTACTTTTATTTACAAATGATCACTGCACAGCTGTAAATTGTTAGAAATAGTGCTTTTTATTACAGATACCGTGTCTAACATGATTATTGGTTAAAAAATACGAAACAGTGGTGAAAATGTACACATTTTATACCATTTAGTAAAATTCATAACAGGTACCCCCTCAAATCCACTGTTTCACTGTGACTTCTACAGATGTAAAAAATGTCTATGAAATTGAAAAGATACCATCAAATGTCACCAAATTCACACACAATTAGCATTAGGGTGTCCTCGTTAAATGCCACATGCCTAACAACGTGTGCGTCAACCCCATACTGCAATTATCTCCTGTAGACTGCGCGACAAGCCTTCAACACGGGTAACAATTCTGTTATGGGGGATATTGTCCCATTCATCCTAAAGAGCGTGGCGGAATTTGTCCAGACTCTTTGGGAATTAGTTCTCCTCTACAATGCACATTCCAATTAATGGCACAGGTGCTCAGTAGGATAAAAATCAGGGCTCAAAGACGGTTGTCGCATCCTCAGAGCCCTGTGTTTCTGCAACAAATCGCTTGCCAGACGAGAGCTGTGAGCAAGTGCGTTGTCACAATGAAGCCAGTAGCATCCCTGAAGTCACCTCTTGCAATTGGAGTGAGATTTCCGTTGAGAATATTACAGTAAAATGCCCCTGTTACGTTTTGTTCCAAAAGGAACAATGTACTTATACCATGGGCTTGGAATGTTCTCCAAATGCGAACTGATCTAACACCTCAGGCGATATTATCTTGCACACACCCTTCCAAGAGGCATTTTTTAACATGTCCATGGACCCTCATTGGACCATCGATAAGATACAAGAAATAATTTGATTCTGCATCAAAACCGACTTCCTTCCATTGATAGATGGCCAGGTTCAGGTGCCTGTGGGATCACTGAACGTAGCATTCTTAGCTGATATCTCATTCCATCTTCAAGAACTGACTTTGGGGTTTACTCCAGGCTTTATCATGACTGCACACTTGCTCACTTGCACACTTGCCTGACAAGTGTTTGTTGAAGAAGCACAATGCTCTAAGTATGGAACCACCATCTTTGAGCCCTGATATTAAACTTACTAATCAACTGTGACATAGATTGTAGTGTGCAATAAAAAGGAGAACCAACCCCATAAAAACGTGGACCAACTCCCCTAACTTGTTTTAGAAGAATGGGACAATATCCCACATAACAGAATTGTTACCCGTGTTGAAGGCTTGTCGCGCCGTCCACAGGAGATAAATTGCAGTACTCGGTAGACGCACACGCTGTTAGGCACGTGACCTTTAACAAGCACACCCTAATGCTAATTGTGTGTGAATTTGGTGACATTTGATAGCGTCTTTTCAATTTAATAGACATTTCTTTACATCTGTAGAAGTCACAGTGAAACAGTGGATTTGAGTGGGTACCTCTTATAAATTTTACTAAATGGTATAAAATGTGTATATTTTCACCACTATTTTGTATTTTTTTTTAAACCATTAATCATGTTAGACACGGTATCTGTAATAAAACGCACTATTTCTAACAATTTACAGCTGTAAGTTGATCATTTGTAAATAAAAGTACATGGAAATGGGGGTGGGACAACCTTTTTGACCAATGTTGTATATTTGGTGAGAAAAGGAAGAATGTGTAATGGCCCAATAATAATCTTCATATCATTAATTCAATCAGTGGATCTTATGGTTTTTATTCCCTTGAGGCATTCGTTGTATGTTCACACATTTGAAATTTATAATGTGTATAAATACAAATGCAGCATTAAATAATATTTCATACCTTAGGCCTCTAAGTAGGCCTACATATC